TAACTCACTGCAGAAAACAGTCCCGCAGGGGTGGTCGTAAGGACTGGAGCACACCGTCCAAGATACTCTGCCTCTGGCTTCTTTGTGTGCTGAACAATACCCTTTGTGTCTTCCATGTCAACACAGATGGGGCTGCCGCACTGCCCCTAACTCTAGACAGGGCTGATCTTGCTTTCTACCCGCTATTTCTCAGTCATTTGCACTCCTGGATGACTCCATCTCCCTCAGCCATATCTACATGTATCCTCATGACGAGGAAAGTGTTTGTTAAATGTGGCTGAGTCTCCACCACAGACACCAATTATAAGGTAAATGAGGCTGTAGGATGTAGAACTGTCTGTACCCCAAGACCTGCAGAGGTGACTTATTACATAGGCTGGGCAGACAGATGACACGAAATGTCACAGACAGATGCGCCCTGTCAGGGCACAGACAGACACACATCATGCTTGAGACACTAAGGCCAAGGGAGGGAGGCCCAGGACGCAGCTGCCTTCCTGGGTACCTTGGGATCCCAACTTACAAACCACCTGCGTTACAGGGAGTGGAGGCGCACGCCTGTAATCCCAGCACTCTGGGAGGCTTCGGCAGGAGGACGGCAAGTTCAAATCCAGCTTGAGGAACTTAGCAAGACCCTACCTCAAAATAAAAGAGTAATCCATGGGCACTCATGACAGCACACACCTGCTACCTCAGCTGAGCTGGGAGGCCTGAGAGTTGGAGGAGAGCCTGAGACTCATACAGAGGCCCTGCCCCAAACCACAAAAGAGGGTGGGGGGCAGGCTGACGATGTACCTCAGGGCGAAGGCCGTGGGTGTGAACCCCTGTAACACAGTCAATTAATTAACTATGCATTTCCAACTCTCTATAATTTAATATGTGTGTGCAGATCAATAAATATACAATAAACAGAAGCAAGGACAAAAATCACATGTTCATCTGAACAGACACAGAAAAAGTTTTAACGAAATCCAATATCCATTCATGACAAAAACTGAAGAAAACAGGTATAGAAGGGCCTTATCTCTACCTGATAAAAGCCATTTCTGACAAACCTACTGCCAACATCATATTAAATAGGGAAAAATGGAAAGCTTTTCCTCTAAAATCAGGCAAGAGACAAACATGCCTGCGATCGACACCCCTTCAGTTTAGTACTTGAAACTTCAGTCAAAGCAATCAAGCAAGAAAAAGAAAAAAGGGGATACGTTTAGCAAAGGAAGAAGTCAAACCACCCCTATTTAAGGAAGATATGATCCTTTATATAGAAGACCCCAAAAATTCCACCAAAAGACTCTTAATAAACCAATAAATAAAATGAAACTCTTAATAAACCAATAAATTCAGCAAGGTAGCAGGACAGAAAGTCAACAGCATTCCTATGCATCAATAATGAACCCACCAACAAAGAAATCAGGAAAACAATACTATTCACAACAACTTCAAGAAAAATTAAATACTTAGGAATTGACCTAACAAAGTAAGTGAAAAACCTCTATAATGAAAACTAGTACTCTGAAAAAAGGACATCCGAAAATGGATGACATTCCCTTTTTCTGGACAGGTAGCACAGAAACTATCAAAATAGCCATACTACTAAAACTAATAATAGATTTAATGCAAGCTTGATCAAAGTACCAATCATAGAACTAAAAAAATTCTAAAATTCATATGGAACCAGAAAAGACCCAGAATAGCAAAAGAGAATCCTAAGTAACAAAAGCAAAGCAGGCAGCATCTCAAGCCTGGATGTCAAGTTACATTATACAGCTACAGTGATTATAGAAACGGAAACAACCCCAAGCACATATTTGATCTTTGACAAAGGAGCCAAAAACACAGCCTCTTTAACAAATGGTGCTGCACTGCAGAATCTAGACCCAGACCTCTCAGTATGCGCTAGAGTAAAATCAAAACGGATCAAAGAACTAAATATTAAGACAGAAACACAATCTGCTGTACGATAAAATAGGTAGAACTCTTGAGGACACAGGCACCGGCACACGCAAGGACTTTCTGAACAGAACCCCAACTGTGAAAGAAATACCAAGAATCAACAAATAGAATTATATCAAATTAAGAAGTGTCTGCACAGATGAAAACAACACTGAGATTCCACCTCACCCCACAAAGAATGGCTGCTATCAAGAAATCACACAATAACAAATGTTGGCGGGGTTGTGGGGAGAAAGGAACCCTTCTCCATTGTTGGTGGGAGTGCAGACTGGTGCAACCACTATGGAAATCAATATGGAGATACCTCAAAGAGCTTGGACTGGAGGTTCCATTTGACCCAGCCATCCCTCTGCTGGGTATCTTTCCAAAAGAACTAAAAGAATCATATCACAGAGAAGTATGTGCACCCATGTTTATAGCGGCACAGTTTGTAATAGCTAAATCTTGGAAACAGCC